TAACCTGTTGGCGCTGCTGGCGCTGAGAGGATCCTGCATGATGGATCAATCTAGACACTATCGTCCATGAGTCTCATTATCTAAAGTGGCCATGGAGGAGCCTGGAGGAAGAGTCTTAAAGGAGCTTAAATGCACTCAGGAGCCTGGTGAAATCCAGCGAGCAGGAAAAAAAACAGCCATCAGTCAGATAGATAGCGAGCTGTCAGTGATGAGAGGCCTGCAGCTGCTCGCCGTGCTGCACTCAACACACTGGAGATCTTAACACAGCCGAGATCTCACGGCGGCAGATTGCTCGTGACCTTGAGGAGCGCTGAAGCTGCGAACCGAAGAGATGGATAGCTGCATTAATGTCAAACTCTCATCAGTTCATTTTGTTGGGGGAATTTTACTGTCAGTCAAGTTTCAGTTGCATCATCAGGTCGACTTCGACAATTTAGATTTCATATTTTGAGGCAAAACAGATGAAAAATTAGACCAAAAGATTAAAACAACGCCCCCAAGAGGCAACAATCATCACTGATGTTTAGCCGCCCTCTCCGCCAGGTTGCTCTTGTAAAAGCGGGTGTGATGATGATTTTGTTATGTAATTTTGTTCTCAACAAATTAGTAGTTTGTTCATCAGGATCTGATGTGTGACATAAGTGTTAAGTTATTTTATTTGAACAGTGTAATAATATTAATACATTTTATTTATAGAGCATTTTTCATGGTTCTCAGAGACACTTTACAAAAGTTAAAAACATCAAAACTAGAATACAGACAATATATAACACACAACTGTGAGAGGTCGGTGCAGCCTCGACTGTGTTTGGGGAGATGGTTGCAGAGGGATGTGGCGGTTGTGGAGCAGACTCTGTCGCCTTAGGTGCAGTGCTTGGTCCTGAGTGGTGGAGACAGGAGGTCGGCATCAGAGGAGCGGAGGCTGTGGGAAGGAGTGTGGTGGTGGAGCAGGTCAGTGAGGGAGCAGTGGGCCTGGGTATGGAGGACTTTGAACTGTATGCATTGTGGGACAGGAAGACGGTTTAAATAATATGTTGTTAATAAGCACTTGATATAAAAGCACTTGTACCTGTACTTAAGGGATCACTGTTATTGAATTATAGTGGAGTCGTCGTACTTGTCGTCGCTCTGGTAAAATATTATACTACAGAATAATACTACAGTGCTTAAACTCTGTGTAGCACTGCTGGATCTTCTTTCAAAGTGCTGCTTGTCCTCATTCAGACCTCATTATGAGTAACCTGCTGCAGCACAGTCATGTCTCACTGGACATATGAGGTACACGGGACCTTCTTCTATTTAGAGAGGTGACTATGTGCTAGACTGCCCTCTGACTATAGGAGTCACACGACATGTTCATATATACACACAGACCTGACACATAGGACTGTTGACACATAGGACTGTTGACACATAGGACTGTTGACTAACAGCATGAGGAAGTGCGTATCCACCGAAAACCAGACGACACTGCAGAAAAAATAAATATTGTAAAGATCTATTTTGGCTCCGTTGTGGGAAATTTATTTGAATAAGTTAACGCTCGTGATCCGGTCTGATGACATCATGTTCATGTACAATTAATGTTGAATCCTCTGCTCCTGTTCTGAATGCAACATGTTTAAAATGTCAGTCTTCAGTTACTAATTTGCAATTTTAATATCATCAGTGAACTCTTGCTGTGTGCATGAAGGTCTCCCTGTGAGGATCTGAACTGTGTCTGTAATGGAAACACACTGGTGTCTTCATTTTTTGGACATACATCAGTCTTTCCATTCCAACTGTCAGAGTCCACGATGTGTTGAAATGTCCATGTGTACGGCGGAATATCTGAATACATGTTTCATATCAACATCTCTAAAGTGACGTGAGCTGACTCTGTCATCAGGAGGTGGAGGGGATGGAGGATGGTGTGACACCTCGGAGAGACACCTGCCAAACTGCAGACCACTGTTCAACTCGAACAAACAACAATTTTAAGCCCCACATTAACTACAGCATTGTTGAAACATGAAGTTTAAACGTATCCACGACAGAATAACCAAGTACAAACCTCCAGAGCTGAAAAATGAAGCCAACACTCCGCTGCAGTTCTTCCAATGACCACTTGAGGCTGGCTCCAAGAGCAAGTCAGTCCCCACAGACCCCCATGTTAACATGTAGAAATAAACACGTTTACAGCCTGGTACAAAAAACAGTTTTGGTCTTTATAGCTAATATCAATATTCATGACAGTCACAGGGCGGCACGGTGGTGTGGTGGTTAGCACTGTCACCTCACAGCAAGAGGGTTGCCGGTTCGATCCCGGGTTTGGGAGCCCTTCTGTGTGGAGTTTGCATGTTCTCCCGTGTCAGCGTGTCAGCGTGTCAGCGTGGGTTCTCTCCGGGCACTCCGGCTTCTTCCCACAGTCCAAAGACATGCAGGTTAATTGATAACTCTAAATTGTCCTTAGGTGTGAATGTGAGCGTGAATGGTTGTTTGTCTCTATGTGTCAGCCCTGTGATAGTCTGGTGACCTGTCCAGGGTGAACCCTGCATCTCGCCCGATGTCAGCTGGGATAGGCTCCACCCCCCCGCGACCCTCAAGAGGATGAAGCAGTTAGAAGATGAATGAATGAATGACAGTCACAGCCAACACACACACGTGGTTAATATAAGCCAACACACTCGTGGTTACGTTTAGCCAACACACACACACTTGTGGTTACGTTTAGCCAACACACATACACACGTGGTTACGTTTAGCCAGCACACACGTGGTTACATTTAGCCAACACACACACACCTGGTTACGTTTAGCCGTCACACACACATGGTTACGTTTAGCCGACACACACACGTGGTTACATTTAGCCAACACACACACACATGGTTACGTTTAGCCGGCACACACACGTGGTCACGTTTAGCCGGCACACACACGTGGTCACGTTTAGCCGGCACACACACGTGGTCACGTTTAACCGGCACACACACGTGGTCACGTTTAGCCGACATGCACACGTGGTTACGTTTAGCTGACACACACACGTGGTCACGTTTCACCGACACACACATGTGGTTACGTTTAGCCGACACACACGTGGTTACGTTTAGCCGACACACACACGTGGTTACATTTAGCCACCACACACACACACGTGGTTATGTTTAGCCAACACACACACACGTGCTTACGTTTAGCCGAGACACACACGTGGTTACATTTAGCCAACACACAAACACGTGCTTACGTTTAGCCAACACACACACGTGCTTACGTTTAGCCGACACACACACACGTGGTTACGTTTAGCCGACACACACACATGCTTACGTTTAGCCAACACACACACACGTGGTTACGTTTAGCCGACACACACATGTGGTCACGTTTAGCCGGCACACACACGTGGTCACGTTTAGCCGACACACACACGGTCATGTTTAGCCGACACACACACGTGGTTACGTTTAGCCGACACACACACGTGGTTATGTTTAGCCAACACACACACACACACGGTCATGTTTAGCCGACACACACACGTGGTTACGTTTAGCCAACACGCACACACTTGGCTGGCTTTAGGAAAAAAGAACAGGGTTTGGCTTTACAGTCTCACAGGAAGGGAACACCGGCTCCCAGGTGAATGTCAGTGGTTGTTGGACCCGTCGCTCCCACCTGCCCTTCACGGACTTTCACTGCCTCGTTGTTGTCCTGCCATGTTTCCCCCTGATGCTGCCAGGTGCTGTCATTGTTTAACGGCACGTATCATGTTGATGTGACAGAACAGGTTTTTCATCAGCGTCTCATGCTGTAAGTCAATGACCAAGCACCAGTTTTCAACTTCAAAGTGAGACGGGCTGATTTACCACAGCGTTGTTGAAACAGAAAGAAATGTGTAGTTTCAACATGTCTGCTACATCCTGACGTACAAATGTAACCTATTCGTAATTTGCATTTGAGATGAACAATGCCAACATTTTTTTCTGGTGATTGTGTTACAAAGGGACAGACACCTGGACATGACAGCTTGAGTTTCTCAATTTACTTATTCTTTAAAAAAACAAAAGAAACATCCACCAGTTATTTGCTGTTGAACCCTGAGGGGCTGCTGTCCTGATCTAAATTAAACGTGGTGGTATTTAATGACTTTGGAATAAAAGGGCTGCTGAACCAGCCTGCGGCTTCTCTCACTTTTCTCCAAGCTCTCTCCTTTTTGTCGTGTCTCTAAATTACTGACGTTGAGTCATGGACCTCGGCAACAATAAGTTTGTCCTACATTTCTAGAGTAAACGTAACCAACAGAACAGATCAGTAGTTCATAGACAGAACATCGAGTTAGACACAAACACTATAAACCTGCAGTATCAGACTTTAGAGCAGGCTTTAACACCACTCCTGTGCATCACATCTGGAGTAATATAGTTTCCATTTCCATTTGTAAAGGAGTAATTTTGCAGCTCCAATATAACATGACCAGACATGTGCTCACCTCACCCTCAGGTCTGAGTGATAACGTGATAAAAAGATAGTTTTCTTTGTGTTGGCTCTGAAGGTCCACCAACATTAAACACAGAATTATTCTGCTAAAAGATTTAGCGCAGACTTGAAAGCAGACTTTAAAGTTCAAAGTCTCTTCTTTATTGATTCTTGTACATTAAAGCCGAGAACTAAGCACATGTGTTATTCATCAGAGCATTGTAAAATATGAACAAGTGATGTTTGAGGTTAAGATAAGAATGTAGTTCAAGACACCATCTTGATTAAAAATCCAACAGACTTCTTAATTTTTCAGGCACTGCCCCAGAATGCAGTGGGGCGCTGAGTTCAGCGCCAGCCTCTGTGAAGATTCAGACATGTGTAATCCAACACCTGACATCATGTGTGTCAGGGATCTTTGCTATTTGAGTGAAACCAGATGTAATTCCCCCGCCTGGAAAAAAAGAAGCTCCTCCCCAGACCTGGATTGTACTTCCTCAAACTCCAGCCAATATATACTCACACTGTGACCTACTTTGACAGTAGAGGAAGACGGTGTCGCACTCAGAGAACTTCACCAAACTCTTTTGGACTCAAGGTAAAGTTTATTGTTTGCTGAGCTTTGGTCTCAGTTTTGTGAATTCATTCTCTTGAACTGGATTTCATTTGTAGAGTTTGTAAAACTCAGACTAATAGTTCTGTTTGCACTGAATTTAAAGCAGCTTGTGTGTAACTGAGCTGAACCGAACTAAAATGATGCAGAATTTACTGCACTGCACTGATTTCCCAGGAAATACTTTGACTCTTGATTCCTTCCCTTTGAGTGTCAGATAATTCATACATATTTTTGCCTGCTAAAAAGTAATTAGTGTTAATAGGATTAGGATTAGAGAATGATTTTGACCCAGTTGCACCTTAATAGAAAGAGTTTTGGAAGTCAGAGCTGCAGCCTGAACTGGGAGCTGCTTTGACCTCTGCACAGTTACTGTGGTGTATTCAGAAACATATCATACAAAATATTGATTAATGGTGTAAAACATGAATTCATTTGTAAAGCATAAAGAGACATTCTTTTGAGTCACACAGCGACGCAGCACAGTGCATATATTTTTCAGATTAACTGTAAATTATTTGCATAGATCATGAGACCCCGTTATTCAAATGATGGCGTTTCCTTGAAGTCAACCACGGGTGAAGGCAGACTGGATAGAATCAATGTGTGTAGGAAGCAGACAGTGTAAAGCAGCTGCGTTCACACAGACTCAGAGTTGGAAAAAAAAGCGATTGTTTTCTGCTTTTAGTTTAGTTAAACTCAACAGGTCGACGACCTTTACTAGAAACAACGGAGACAGATGTAGATCAGAGGCAGGATGTGATAAAACAAGAGAGAAACGAGGAGACACTGATGAATGACAGATGGCAAGGAAGCAGAGAGAAGCAAAGGTGGAGAGAAAAGTTCAGACTGCTGTTGAGTTTTTAAATCTGGAGTTAAAAAGGCACCAAGACAGTGTCTGAATCAGCCAGGGAACTTTTACAACACAACAACAAAAACAAAGTTGGCTGGTACTCATGTGTTTGGAACGAAGCTGACAGACAATATTCATTGTCTCCAAATTTCATCATGTTTGTGGCAAAAAAAGCAAAAACAAGTTGCGTATTTTCCACAAACTTAAATCCCTGAAACAGCTCTCAGATCAGCTGCAGCCACTGACCTCTGGACAGGATGCAGGTTTTAACTGTGGTGTCAGCTGTTGGACGGTTTCCTTGGAAATATAAACTAACTGGCTCCTCATCCTCAGACTCAGTGACTAAAACCATCATGTGACAGTAAACAAGTCCACACAGACCCAGTCAGATTCAGATTGATGATTCATGTTATGTCCTTTTATTCAGTAGAAAAACTGAAACCAAAGAAAGAATACCAGCCGTTCTGTATTTGAGCACAGACTTGATGTGCATAGAAGGAGTACTGAACAGGCCTGCCAGGCACAGGGTCAGGGGCCCAAAGTGTCAGGGGCCAGGAAGAGATTCAAAATGACAGGTTCAACAGCTGTAAAGTCTGTGTGTCTTCCTCCTGTGTTGGAGACAAACTGGGACAAATCGTAGGTCACATATCACCCTGATTATCGCCTCGCTCCGTTGGTCGACAGTTAACTACAGAACTGATTTTAAGATTCTTGTAATAACTTTGAAAGCTCAACATGGTTTAGCTCCCAGTTATATGGCTGAACTTCTGACTCACTATGCTCCAAGCTGTGACCTGAGATCCTCGAGTCTCCCCTCACTAGTCATCCCTCAGTCAAGGCTGGTAACTAAAGGTGACTAACTTATTATTAGAGAGGGGGGCTTCTGTATATCTGTGCCCAGGGACCCAGCGTCTGATAATCCGCCCTTGTCTGTATGAAACAATGACACATGAGGTCTTGTGTGTTCTCTCAGATGCTGCAGTTTGTGTGTGTGTTGCTGCTGGCGGCCTCGGCTCTCAGCCACCTGGACGAAGCCTCTCTGGACGCCCAGTGGGAGGAGTGGAGGACCACACACAGGAAGGAATACAACGGCCTGGTGAGTCTGTGGCAGTGTGTTTCAAAGCTTCAGTTTGACATTGTCTGTGATGTCAAACAAGAGAGCAGCAAGATGAAAAGACAGAAGTGATTGTAAAGAGAAACAAAGGGGCAAAAATACAACTAGCAACTACGCCTATAAGAGATGATCTGAAACCAACGCTTAACAATATATGTGATGATCAGCAGGATGGAGGATTGTACAAGAGGAGCTGAACCAGTCTGGGTTGTGTTTAGTACGTGGTTCTCCACAGCTGGCACTGATGCGCTAATCACAGATTATTTTATTGATAAAATAATATTGTTGCATGTCATGTGTTGCACTTGATTTGGAGAACTTGCTGCTTGTCCCTAATGACTGGATTTTTAAAAAATATTCAATGTTTCACAACTATTTGATGCATATTTTACTGATGCCTAAAAGGTGAGGCAAGTATTAATAAACCACATTTTGGCAACAAAGCATCGAGACAAAGTGCAAAAGAAACACTTTATGGAAACACTTTTAAATAAAATTAAGATGCCATTAAAGAGCTGAAGAGTAGAAAATAAGAAGCTAAAACAGGTATTAAAAACAATAAAAGCTAAGTGCAGTGTAAATGATGAATAAATATTTGATTTTATAAAAGGCAGCAGCAGCAAACAGAAAACGCTTTAACCATAATTTAAAAGAGTTGGTGCAGAGCTGCAGGTTTCTGGGAGTTAGTTTCAGATATGTGGAGCATAAACACTAAACGCTGCTTCTCCATGTTTAGTCCTGACTCTGGACACAAAGCAGACGTGTCCCTGAAGACCTGAGAGGTCTGGATGGTTCAGACTGTAGCAGAAGGTCAGAAAGCATTCAGTGCTTTATAAACCAACAGTGGATTCTCTGACAGACAGGAAGTTGGTGTAAAGACCTCCAAACTGTCTTGGTCTTAGTGCGGACTCGAGCAGCAGCTCTCTGATTCAGCTGTCTGATGATAAAGACTCTGTTACAGTAGTCGAGTCGACTGAAGATAAATGTGGGGACAAGTTTGTCCAGGTCCTGCTAAGACACCAGTCCTTTTTTCCTTGATATGTTCTTTAGGTGACAGTAGGCTGACTTTGTAATGGTCTTAATGTGGCTGTGGTTTTTAACATTGAGCACTGACTTTTGATTGTTCCTCTTTGGCTCCAAAAACTGTTACCTCAGATTTGTCTTTGTTTAACTGAAGAAAATTGTGACACATCCAATAATTGATCTGTTCAATGCCCTAAGTCAGAGCTTGTAGTGGACCATAGTCCCCTGATGATATAGTGATATAAATTTGTGTGTCATCTGCATAACTATTGTAACATATTTGGTTATTTTCCTTAATCTGAGCCAGTGGAAGCATATAGATGCAAAACAGAAGAGGGCCCAGAATTTTGCCTTGGGGAACTCCACCAGTCATTATTGTGATTACCTATAGACACAAATTAGTCCTTGCCCTTTAAGTAGCAATCAAACCAGTTTAGTACTGTGCCAGAAAGTCTCACTCAATTTTACAGTCAGTCTGGTAACATGTTGTGGTTAACTGTGTCAGGTGCAGCACTGAAATCCAGAAATACTAAAAGTGAAACTCTGCGGCTGTTTTTTAAACAATGACGTCACTTCTTTAAACTTACTTCTCTGTAACAACAACAGTGCTGGTTTCTGTTGAGGACAGGCTCTTAGGACTTGATTTGGGATGTTTGCTTCAACTGGAGAAAACATGATTGCACAACTTTATGCTTGACTGTAAAAAGGAGGCAAATACTATGTATTTATTAATTTATTAAACAATGTAAAGGTAAAATGTTCAAATTTATACATCCTGGACTTTTTGGACATTTAAAAAAACGAATGTTAACCAAAGTTCTTTATAAAGAGATGAAACAAAACAGAGGCATGGTCAAATAAAAAATGGAGAATATATATGTAAATAATGAAAAAACATATGTACTGTGTAAGTACAAGTCAGATCACTAAATAGTTGATTTTAATGATGTATGGTGGACAGACTTTTCGCATTATCTATATGTTCCAGAGACTGCATTACAACAAGAGGAAACAATATTAATTTATAATCTATATACTTCAGTGATTCTTTGTTCTTTTGTGATGAAACCTCATATTCTATCAACAGACCACATCTGAACTCCAGATGGGACTCATACAGACCAAACTGTCCTTTAAAGAAATTTACCCACAAAGTTTTTCAGTCCTTGTCTGTGGTCACACAGAGCTGCAGAGTTGCACATTCCTCAAACTTGCACCAGACCATTTCTGTGTGTAAATCAGAAGTCAGAGGAAAGAACAGGGAGCGGCAGAGTGACAGAGGCAAAGATCAGACTGACATTAATGGGAAAGGACGTCAAATTTTCATTATCGCTGGTGGAGTGTCAAATGTTTCAGAGAAAAAGTGCAGCGCAGTCAAGTTGACTGAACAATTTCTCAGTGCTGACTGTCGCAGTGATTCATCAGAACATTTATCTTGAAAGTGTCAGTGGCTTCACCCTCTGAGCTGCGTCTGTATGTGCAGACGAAAGGATACATTTATCGAGCCCTTCTTTCTGTCTGCAGGCTCTCTGTGTTTCTCTTTGTGCTTCAGTAAATTGTTCAACGTGTGGACGTCTTTGTGTTTGACTCACTGTCTGTCTGCAGCTGACTCAATTTAATGGCCGGTCAGTTCAGAGTTAGTCTCCTCTCTCTCTAACTCAGCTGACCTGTCGTCAGTCTGCTGGATGTTTATTCGCGAGGAAGAAGCTCCGTTAAAAGACAGAGCAGATCTTTCTCTCAGGAAGTAACTCACAGCAAATCTCCTTTTTGTCTGGATTTATTGTTCAACATTCAGTGCTGTATGTTAGTTGTATGTGTGGGGTCTTATTTTATTATCATCAGTCCTGTTTATTTCATAGATGGAGGTGGGGGTGGAGAGTTTATTGTCATCAAGATAAAAAGAGCAGGATAAACAGTGAGATAGGACACAGGAGAGTTTGACCCTCATGATTTGTAAATATTGTTCAACAATATGACAGTTACAGATGTAGAGGAGGTCATTCACTGATTGTTGTCACCCGAGAGAAACCGTAATGTGTTTTGTGTTGCCCTGAGCACATCAGACATGAAGTGTAGATACTTGTATTTATATTGTTTTAGTGTATAGTGTTATATCATCAGCATATAAACAGATTTTTGTGATTATTGGTGCCAGCTATAGAGCTTCTGAAATGTTTGTATTTTGTTGCATTACAGAAAGCACCCAGGCCAAGAGGGCAGCAGGAACACTGTTACAACAACAGACAGGTTTTTAGCATTCTGTTGCTGTTTTTGCTATTGTATTTGTGCTATTAAAAAAACAGCTGTTTTCTTTTAAGGAGACATCAATTGTGCCCTCAAAATTAAGATATTTAAAGCCAAAACATGATCATTTCCAAACTATAACCAAGTGGTTTTGTGCCTAAACCAAGCCACACATTTACCACAGTGTTGTTGAAACATAACATTTCAATGTATCCACGACATAATACTAAACAAATGTAACGTATCCATAGTTTGTAGAAATGTCTAATGCCAACACTTATTCTGGCGATTGAGCTGACAGTGGAGGGAAAGAGGCACAGCTTTACCTGAAACATTGGCTGTTTTATAAAACTTATGGATTTCTGTGCAAATTATTGAACTGTTGTTGGGAGAAATCAGTGACACGTATGCAGGAGTTTTTGTTGGCGAGTCCAGTATCACTCAGTAAAAACACGGTCCACGGTTTTCTTCAAGTCCACCAAAGCTGGAAAATAAAAGAATGACACCCAGTGACAGCACAAACCACTTTGTTGGGTGGGACAGATGACAGTTTTTATAATAAATATCCTTGCATAATCAAGTGCAATACAAACCCAGTATCAGGAAAAGAATTGCAATATTTAGAATTTGGATTAAAAGTCATTTCTAATACTTTTTCTGTGCTCACTGTTTTGTTCATAAGACAGTCAGGTACAGAGGAGGAACATTAATAATATAATAAGTGTGAAAACAAATTTAACAAAAGGAGAGGATAGTGATAATTTAATACACTGCCAATTCCATGTTCCTTCACCTGTCAAGCCACCTCTGATAACAAAGCAGCTCTGTGTTTTTAAAAGAGTTTTCCTTCTGGTCTGAGTCAGGTGGCTCGTCACTAACTTCTGCCACTGTCTCTGCCAAAAACAAGACTCAGTGCTGACAGATGTGTCTGCAGCTACTTCCTCAAACTTTAACTGTAAATGTGTAGCACACCATGTGTATGTTAAAATGTGTATTTCTTTAAACACAATAGAGTCTATCCTGCACTGTGGAGAAATAGAGGCCAGCACTGGTTGCTCTACTTCCTTGTTTTGGCCCGGAGAAAGGAGACAGATGGAGTTTGAGAACAGAGAAGCAAAAGTAAAGCAGGACATGCACAATGAGAATTTACAGTCTCTTTATCTTTCTCATCTTTACTCAGTAATTTAGAAAAGTTCATGTCCAAGCGGCTGTCGTAGAGCCAAACCAACTCTTTCTGCTCTGATTCAGGAGGTCCAGTTTCACCAGGCAAATACAGGTGTTTTAACCCGGCTCATCAGCTCAGATCACACAGAAAAAAAAGTCTAATTTCTGTTCGCTAATTTAGTTTTTAATTGAGGTCAGCTGAAGCCGTCAGGTTTTATATTGTAGAGCATAAAATTTCCAACAGCGGGAACTTGAAAAATTTCCATCAGTGGAAACTCCTCTCACCTCTCACTCTGTGTTTTACCCTCCTCTCTCAGTTTCCTCATTGCCGAAATTCCCAGGCATGTTTTTTTAATGATTTGGTTCCAGCTGCCGGTTGTGAAGCCGTGAAGAAGAAAATGTAGTTCAGCCGGTGTTAAACCAGAGCCGACTGCAGATTTACGTCTTGAGCGCTCACTGAGCATCTGTTACAGTATCCCTCCGCGCTTCACCTCTGGCTAGAGGTCACCGCTCCACAGCTTTGTGTGTGTGTGTGTGTGTGTGTACAGATGCATGTGTGCAGTTTACCGACAGTGCTGTACGTGCCTGGATTCATGTGCAGTATGTGTGTGTGTTTTTTCGGTCTGCGTGTACTTGCATGTATTATTTAAATGTGTGTGTGTGTGTGTGTGTTTGTTTGTTTGTTTGTTTGTTTGTGTGTTTGTGTATGTGTGTGTGTGTGTGTGTGTGTGTGCGCGCGCTGATGTGGTCATTATGTGGTGTATTATTTACATTCATGTAGTCAGCAGAAAGAGTCAGCACAGCTCTTTCTTTCTGTGATTTTAATCAGTATTCATCCAACAGTTCGTCTAATTCATCCCTCCTTGAACTGACATCATTGTAATAGAATCAGAGTCTCTTCGCATCATTTGCATTTTCCATTACTGGAATGGATATCGAGATAGAAATAATGATTATGGTTATGCTAATGGTTGTTAAGACTACGAATACTAAGTAGAGCATGGATGTTTTTTAAGTAACCAGCCGAGCACTTATTATTGTGTCTTATTCACATATTGTGACGGAGCAAGTGAACATCAGTCTCTTTCTAACGACACTCAGTGATGAAATGTGATGTTCTAAAAATAAAGAATGAAGCAATGCTTTAATACAAGTCACAACTGCATTGGACGATGGTGTTGCTGTACAAGCTGTCGTAGGAAGGATGCACATAATGTGCGCTGGTTTAATTGGCCTAATTAATGAAACAGGGCTGTAACGCAGACGAGTTTCCTTTCCTTGCTAATTAAAAGGTAAATTTGTCCTATTTGCCCAGATTCATTTCTTTGTGCTGCCAGGTGTCCACGCAGGAGGGAAGGCAGGGAAGCAAAACTTCACACTGAAATAAAAGTGATTGAAGAATCTGTGTATGTTATGTCCTCATTATGAAATGGCCGGTGACTCCATTACTGTGACTGAATGCTCCAGAGTTCATATTTCTAAAATGTTTTACAGCCCTCTCCAAGAAATACACACTTCTATTGTCTGACTTCGGAGGACACAACTGGCCCTCGATATCCCATAATCCTTTGTACGCTGCTCAGATCATGTCCAGTTTCTGTTTTGACTCAAACATGCTCTTGTTTGTCTCAGGATGAAGAGGGGATCCGCAGGGCCATCTGGGAGAAGAACATGCGCATGATTGAAGCCCACAACCAGGAGGCGGCGCTGGGGATGCACTCCTTCGAGCTGGGGATGAACCACTTGGGCGACATGGTGAGTCTGAGGCGCTCCGGCACACTGGGATGAAAAAACACAAGCTGTGATTGGTTGATGTTCCACGTACAGTGTGACATGTTTCATGTCACCATAATCAGCTAATCTAACATAATTTGGGAAAACATAAATGTCACATGACACACAAGAATCAGAATGACAGAGATCAGTTCATGAAACGGTCCAGCTTGTCTCCACCACGTTTCAGTGACAGTATGTTGAAGCAAAGATTTGATGTGATCACCAAATAACAATCAAGTTATGTGTCATTTTATATCCATGATGTCAGTGATCTCGGCCCAGCTGCTGCGGTGCCATCATCAGACAGTTGTCTCAGGTTAATGAAATAAAAAAAAGACCAACGGTCATAGTGAGGAAGAAAAACAACTGCTGCATCTAACAAGTTCTTCATTACCAATTAAAATGCTGATTATTTTATAGTGAATTACGGCCGTTAAAGCTTCTGTGGTGACTTCAAATGTTTTGCATTTTTGCTGAGGGGTCCAGTGTGTAAGGTTTAGAGGGATTCAGTGGCGTCGAGCAGTGAGGACTGCAGGTCTGCAGCAACCAGCTGAAACGTCTCCTGGTTAGAATTCCTTCAGTGTCCAGGAGGTTTTCACCAGGAGCTGAATCATTCACAGAGCTCTCTTCCTCCTGTCAGGACAGGCCAATCGCCCGGCACCTGTTAATGTGTGCTCACCCTTTTTCTTTAATTATTTAAGATCCAGACACTCAGGAGGTTTCTCCAGGAGCTGAATTATCCACAGAGGTCTCTTCCTCTCCAAACAAACAGACCAGCTGATTTAAACCAGGAAAAACACTGAATAAAAAAGTTTCACGTTAAAGAAATCAGTGTTCTTTCAATGCTCTCATCACAGAGGGGCTTTGAACTACAGTGGCCAACGCAAAAACATGAATGTCTCTATCTAGAGCCAGTGTTAGGTTTGTCTGCTCTGGGCTACTGTAGAAACATGGCGCTGCAACATGGTGATCTCTGTAGATGAGAACCTGCTCCCTGTGTAGATATAAACGTCTCATTCTGAGGTAACGAGAACACAACCGTTCTGATTTCCAGCCGATCATACACTGAAGGAAACACACTGATTCTGTTATAATCCATTTCAATCTGACACACTGGACCTTTAAAGGATGACGAAAGATTATCTGATTATAAAAATAGTTGCCAGTAATTTTTTAGCGATCAACTAATCGTTGCAGCAGAAATCAATCAGCAATGATCCATTTTCAGCGTCAGTCTGAGATACAGATGCTATCAGCAACTGCAGCAAGTGATAATTGATCCGTCTGCAAAGTGCATTCAGAAACCTTGTTTCAGTTCCCACCAGTGTCTCATGATACATACATGAAACATCCTGTGTCACATGTTCAGTGAAGTCAGCCTGCAGTTTGTAGAAACACTGAGATTCATATTCTCCTCAGCACTTCTGTCTCTCAGCTGCTGTCATCTCCACTAGTTGCTTCACTCATGCTCGCTGCAGCCCACTGAGGTGAAACTAAATGGATTTGGTGTCCTTAAATCAGCTGTAGTCAGAGACGTGTGTGTCAGTGCGGGTCATGAGTGATGCTTGTTTTTCTATCAAGACGCCGGCTGAAACAAGCTGCACATCACAGCTGGCTGGAAAGCAAAATGCTTATCAAAAAAAAAAAAACCTGCATTCATTCTCGTGCTCATTTCTCAGTGACAGGAACATGTTCATGAACACACATCTGCATCCTGGATAAAAAGCCACTTTCATGTTCATGCAGAAACAGGTGGCTGGGAAATAAAGGATGTGTTTCCATTTTCATACTGACTGCAGCACTTAAGTGAAATGAAAGACATTAACAGATGGTGTGTATTTCTTCCGTTAATGATCTCTCTGCTTGCAGACTGAGCTATAATGAAGGCACCGGGGAATTCTGATGATAATAAATGGCATCATGGATCTTTTTTTAAAATAATTGCTTGGTATCTGTTCACCAGCAGTTTCTTTGTGACAGCCAGCAAACAGTGCAGGAGTCACTTCTTTTAATTCCTCTTGTGCTGCTCTGATCCTCCTCATCTGCTCCTTCTTTATGTCACTGTTTTGTAAATGTTTTATTTGCACTTTTAACCCCTCTGGCGTCACTCTGACATTTGTACAGTGCAGAAAAATGACATTTCACTTTGGAGTAAACTTTTAAAGCCATCTCTTCATGAAATACTTTTCATCCTCCATCAGCCTGCTGAATCAAATCCTCCCCTGCTGTATTTCTTCTTTTACTTGTTCTTGTCTGAAGTCTAAAAATAGCTGTTGTCTGCCTCTTGTCTCCTGCTCCTGTCCCAAAACATTTCTATCCCACAAGATTATTCCAGGAACTAAAGAGAGTTTCACACCATCTTGTGTCAGCAAAGTGCAACCTGTAACTCTGAACCTGTGCACTCTCCTGTTTTTGATCAGCAGCCTGCTGTTGCATTTCTTCATTTTAAGTATCTGAACAAGAGTGTTAGAAACCTGAAACTTGGTGTAAGTAACGTTGACTGTGTGTCGGTTCATGCAGACGTCAGAGGAAGTGTCAGAGAAGATGACCGGCCTGCTGGTCCCAGTGAACAGAGAGCGGAGCTTCACCATGGATCTGGACGACAGAGTGACCAGACTCCCCAAAACTGTCGACTACCGCAAGAAGGGCATGGTGACTGCAGTGAAGAACCAGGTCAGAGGTCATCCACAACACAACACGTCCTGATCCTCCAATATGTAGTTAAAACACACAAAAGCTGTATTAATATACAGAACTGCCAAGCCAGAGAAGAAACTGAGTGTCAGTGTCAGGTAATATCATGAAAAGGTTCTTCTTATTATTTTAGATCAAGATTTTTCAATAACAAGAAACTTTTCATGTTATTACCTGAAACTGATCTTTTTTTTGTTAGGCATCAATACGTTTGATTATAAACACAATACTGATTCATCTTACTTTACATCCAGTTCATAAGAACTTTAATAATCACAAGCTTTCTGAGTAAAAATTCTGCGGAATATGAAACAGTGTAGTTTGTAGTCTTGTCCTCATCTTTAAAGCCTCCTCTTTAAAAACAAAATATTCTATTTGAAATCCCTCCCAACGAAACATGTTTCTGCTTTACAAGAGAAAAGACTTCAAGGATGATGCACATCTGCTTAAGTCCTTCAGTTCAGATGAAGAGCAGTGCAAAGCAGCTTCTCAGTGGCTCCGCCTCATTAGGAGGAATGGATGCATCTGAGCCGTTATAGTCGAAGAATCTGAAGAACCATCCAACAAACGTATTCATGGGTTCAGTCTGATTACAGGCAGAAAATGACGGAACTGCACGTTTCTACAAACCATGACTATGTTTCATATCAGCCTTTCTAAAGTGACGTAGGTTATGAGACCTGTGAGACATGTGACACCTTTGAGAGATGCTCGCCAAACTGCAGGCCACTGTTCAACACCAACTAACAACAGTCATCATCAGACAGACATCAAAGCGTTTCCTGCAGCTTTTCAGCCAACTAACCTGGTTGTTTTTCAGTGACCCGTTGCTGTTTTTACAGCGTGGATAAGGCCAAAAAATTTGTTGTTTTTTTTACCAAGATATGGTTGTGTTTCCTGTCAGGATTGTGCCCCCAAAATAATTTATTTTGAGCCACATATTAACCACAGCATTGTTGAAACATGAAGTTTCAACGTACCTGCTACAAAACAACCAAGCTGCAACCGCCAGGGATAAAAAATGAAGCCAGAAACTGCAGTTCCTCTAATAACCACTTGGGCAGGTTTCAGTCGTCTCCATGGTAACCAGAGACCTCAGTGCCGTTTTTTTACGGTCCACCTTTGTTTCTGTAGCTGTTTAGTAAAGATTTCCATTGATTGATCAGCTCCCAGCAGATTCCCCTCACTCTCTGTGGTGGGCGGGGAATAAAACCAATAATCAATAAATACAAACACTGATTTCTTCCTGTGGAGCAGAAACATTTAGCTTCAGTAAACGTCTGCTGTCAGTCAGCCTGGTGGAGACAGTTTGACTGTCCTGTGTCCTCTCAGCTGACAGACGCTGCTTCTGTGGACGGAGACGCTGAACGCAGGTCAGAGTCAGTGTCGTTTTAAAACTCTTGTTGTCGCCATAACAACAATAGTAACACCACCAAACGCTGTGCGACAAAGTTTGATGGCGTCTGCGACATAACAAAATTCTCCAGGTCACACATGAAAGAAAATTGTAGCGCGACACCTTCTTCTGTCAGAAGTGTCGAGCGCCCTGTCATAACTTGGACTAAAGGGGCGGGGCCTCTATGAGTGACAGGCTGTCTGCTGATAGTGTCCTTGGCTCCTCCGCAGCTCCACCCTCTCACCCAAATATGGTCATTCCTGGTGATGACCGTAATGCCAAACTCATTCATTCACAGTCTGTGATGACACCAGTCAGTAGTAATGTGGCGATTGGGCTGCTGATGAACTTAATGCTGAAAATCATGTCTGTGGTGTCAAATTTCACACAGGTAAAAAATGTGCAGTCAAAATGAAAGTTAGTCCTGTGAGGAGGACAGGGAGGTGGCAGAGCCTGAGCAACATGAGGGACTGGATGTTCAGGACAAGTCAGGACAGAATCAGATACTTTCAGTATGATCAACAGCTGATATCACATGACACAATAACTGCAGCTCAGTAGCACAGAAACCGAAACTGAGACGTGAGAGGACGTTGGAGTGAAGTTAATGAGTCGTAGTCCATAAACATCAAAACAGGAACAGCCTCAAAAATGAGGAAGGACTCAATGTCTCTTTGTTGCTGTCGTGTTCCTGTCAGCACTGAAAGATAAGGTATGACTGCACAGACAGAAGTTGAGTTGAGTTTAGAAGCTGATGATGTGTTTGAGAACTGGGGAAAACTGAGGCAAATTTCCCCATGGCTGTTTCCAGGCAAAACACCGAGAAGGAAACACGCGTTATTGATTTCTGTGGGGAAACGAGGCCGCGGCAGGCAGAAGCAAAAATAATGACATCAACCGGGAGCGTGAAGAAAGAAAGGGGAAAGTAAATTGTAAGAATACAGCGTGTATTTTAAACAGGTGTCTCTGAAGTGAACAGGCAGATAAATCATTATGAAAACACTTCATATTTCACCATAAACATTTATCTTCAGGTTTGTTTCACTCTGTTGGTGTCAAGCAATACCTGCACATGTAAATTGTTGAGTTCAGAAAGACGACCTGGAGATACAAGGTTTTCAGCCAACAGTGAAAAGCCTCTTTATTGAGCACTGATGTGAAAATAAATATTCATAAACATCTCCTGACACGTGTGGTGACGTCCTGCAGAGAGCAGCAGCGGGGTCATCCCTATGTTTCCCGCGTTCTATGTTCCCCACTTACACAAAAAGGGTTGTATTTTTCCCGCTTGGTTGAGCGGGAAACATACAACCCTTTTTGTGTAAGTGGGGAACATAGAACGCGGGAAACATAGATACGCTCCCGCAGCAGCACCATGTGACCTCAAACAGACGCAATAATGATATGAGTATTAATTGTTTTTTCTTCAAGCCATGAAAAAAAGAAAAAGTACCTGGAAACATTCTCCATCCGTTTTTTTTTTTTTTTTATCCTTCATGCTTCAGAAAAAAGAAGCAAACAGCCAGTTCGTTAGTGAACGATCACGTGACCTGCCGCAGGAAACAGCCTGTTCTCTCTGCTAATGGTCTCTGAAAACAGAAGAATGGTTTTGGTTATTAAATATAATTAGTCATTATGAGTGCATCAGACAGCCGCGTCTTATTTATGTGAACACGGGGTGCACAGAACAGGAAGTAGATGGAAATATGGAGTCGCCTACATCTGTGCTTTCTGCCAGCAGCAGCACCAGAGCTCAAACTGAAGCACTGAAGCTTCAGCAGGGTTCATGTTTCATTTTCTATGTCATTTTTAAACAATTGTTTAGTTTTTGACTTAATACATAAAAGTTTTTTAAGTTTTATCGACTTTGAGGTTCAGTTTGAGACTTTCTGACAAACAAAACCTTAAATGATTTGTTTCTGCAGACGCCAGTACACACAGTCTTTAGTTCATTTTGTTATCACAAATTTTTTTTCAACCCTGAACAAAAGAAGAGAACTCCAAACTCAAAGAAATATATTTAAGCTGTTTCAGAGGTAGTCAGGAGGCCCACAGGAGGAGGAGAGTATTAGAGCTTCACCACCACCAGAAATATAGAAAATACCGAGCACAGTCGCCTGCAGAGGCTTCGTTGTATTTTATTTATTATTTCAGTTTAAACAGATTTAACCTCCTGCGTCCTCACATCACATTTTCTGTTTGCTGAACCTTAAACATCATTTTGCTTAACTCAGACTTGATGTCCTCATTCGTGGACACTTTGATGCCATCTAGTGGTAGAAAGAGCACAATACACTAATCCATGTAAAAACAAGATGGCGGCCATCTCTGCCAAGTCTAGTCTCTTACACAGATGCCGATGACGTCAGCACGCTGGCTGACTCTGTCGTCTGTGGACATTCCCATAGGAAAGTTGTAATAGAACTAGCACTGGCTCCCAGCGGCAGTGATGTGATTGGATCCAAATCCGTGTACTTCCGTATTTCCTCGACCAACAGCTGATTAGCTTTGCCTTACACCGGCCTACACCGGAATTGCTGTTGCCCGAATTGTTGTCCGTAGTACAACAGAAGTGCATCGCAAGAAGAGATTAAAATGGATATGATTTCATTTGATTCAGCTATATTGCAGAGCTGCAACGTCTACAAGATTGGAGACTGAATACATTACCAATCTACATCATAGTACTACGCACCGGTAACCTGCTCTCTGTGTTTCTGGTACGGCTCTCTTACATGTAACACACGTGCCGTACCTATGGCAATGCCGTCACGTGGTCTGGATATTCCCGCCCATTTCTATTACACAATGACAAATGTCCCCAGACTCCCATTCTAAAGTAAGGGAAGCTGGTCACACAAGACTAAGTCAAGTCAGTCTGCAGCCGATCACACAGAAGTGGACAAGGTCCAAAACCTGATCACATTTTATGGCTAAAATGTTATTAATATCACATTTTAGTTTAATGTGGAAACAATTTGACCAAACTTGCACCAATAACAAGATAAGACACTGCTAATCAGGAAGTACTCGTGCGTGAGGGACTGTTCCTACAGACAAAAGGATGTTCCTGGTTCAGACTATGGAGCAGGGAGAATTCATGCAGAGTTACACAACAAACAAATCACAAGGTTTTTAGATATGTGCCATTATTTGAAATTTTGTTTTTGCACAGCTGAGCTGAGGTGTTAAAATGAACAGTTTTAGACTTGAACAGTGACCTCTGACCCACAGACGTACAGAATACTGAACAGATGTTGAACTGTTTGTAGTTTTGCTTCTGAACAGTCTTCAGGCACTGAAATAAACTATAAACCCAGTGCTCCTGTATGAGGACATCTTTTCTGTATTTCCAAAACTAGTGACTAATCAAAGGTATGCTAAGTTTTTTATACTTATCAGATCCTTCTGATCCCAAGTAGGTAGAAGAAATTAAAAATGCACCAAACAAAAGCTCAGGTCTCAGGAGGATGGAATAATAATGCACATCAAAGATTAAAACGTTTAAAAAAATATTGATTTCAGATGTTTTTAGAGGAGAAATTGAAACACTTTTTCATTTCTAATAATTATGAATAGTGTGAGTAACTCCTGTAAATGCAGTGTGGGTTTATGTGGAGGAGGTTGTCGCCCTCTGGTGGATGAAAACCAAACCGCAGCCATAAACAGGATTTATGAGCAGCTCTTGAGCTTCCTGTTGTTCATGAATAATGCAGCAGTGTGACTCTGCTCTCTGCATACTAACAGCTCTGCTGCTTCCTCCCCTGCTCCCTTCATCATCACTCAATTGTCTTTTGATGTTTTGTTTGTTTGAGGCAAATTTCAGTTTCAGCGGAGCTTGAAGCTGCGTTCAGAACATCCTCCAGTGAAATGATGTGATCACACGTTTACAAACTTTTTAATTGGACCAACTCAGAGCAGCAGAGCAATTTCCTGGAGGAGGAGCAGCAGAGGCGTTCAACTCAACTCCAGGCATCAATTTATAGTCAGACAGAGACTGAAGGTGTTTCACTACTTCATGCCTGAGAGCGCACGAACACATCAGCTCTGTTCTCCAGCTCAGGACTCAGATCTGAATACACTACATGGCCAAATGTATGCGGACACATGAGCATTACACCCACATGTGATTATTGATCATGTGACTCTGAACAGATTTTACAGTCTGGCTGCAGAGGTTTGCTCCCATTACTGAACAGGCCTATTGGGCACAGGCCCAGGGGCCCAAAGTGTCAGGGGCCCTGTGGCCTTCATCTGCAAAATATCAAATGTCAAAATAACAGAGATTAAAAACGATCACAAAGAGACACAGAACCACCACTAAGTTTGTGTGTCTCACTCCTCTGTAGGAGAGGGTTAATATCTGTGTCTCGTAATCCGTCCGTAACTGAGTCACAACAGCAGCAGTGAGGTCCAACACATCTTTGCCTCCTCTGACTTTATCTGCCATTATTTAAAAGCTCTACAGACACAGGTCTAAATGAATTTTAATTTTCTATGTGGGGCTCTTTATGGAGCATTCGAGGCTGAAGCCTTCGATGCCCAGGATCAACGATGCTGCTGAGTGTTATCTTGCACACGTGACACAGTATCACCAGATTTTAATCACAGACTTATCTTGGAGCATGATATCAGTGTCTCTGACATGTTTCTGTCGATGTCTGATAAAACAGTCATTTCTGTGTGTGTGACATGAACACACTCCTCCTGTGAGCCTGCACCTCTCAGACACTCTGAATCAAAGTAGTCAAAGTCTGCCACCCAGTGGACACACAGGAGAACACACCAGCTTTTGTTTTCAGTCTCTTGTAGCGGTTTAATTTTCTAATGAGATATAATTTAATGTGAGGTTAAGATGCTGTGTTCATTACTGGTTATTCTCATGATTAACTTCTCAATTATTCTGGTCTGTAAAACATCAGAAAATGTCTGTTTCAACATCCCAAAGGTGCCGTCTGCAGTTTTCATTTACTAAGTCTGACATAAGACAAAGAGGTGAATCTGAAGCAACGTTTGGCTCTTTTGCCAAATAAAAAAGACTCAGACAATGAAACAGTTGTTGTCACAGCCCTGGTTGTTAATTGTTTCAGCTTTAATTCAAATCAGCTGATTTTCCTTTTGGTCTTTTCTTCTTCTGTGGTTAGGATAAGAGCCTGCCTGGACAGTGATATAATTACAAATCACATATTTATCACATTTTATATCATCGAACCAAACATGTGCAGCTTCCAGTAAAAACTTTTTTTGATGCATTTCTGTTTGTGTCTGTGCTCAGCTTCACCTCACTGTCAGCAGGTCTTTACCAGGTGCTCTGTGCACATCATCAAACTAACCCTCCTCTCTGTCGTTCCCTCCTGACAGGGCTCCTGTGGCTCCTGCTGGGCCTTCAGCTCGGCCGGGGCCCTCGAGGGCCAGTTGGCTAAGAAGACAGGTCAGCTGATGGACCTGAGTCCCCAGAACCTGGTGGACTGCGTCACAGAGAACGACGGCTGCGGAGGAGGATACATGACCAATGCCTTCAAGTATGTGGTGGACAACGGAGGCATCGACTCTGAGGAGGCGTACCCGTACATCGGAGAGGTGAGGACGACTCAGCACTGCACACAGAGAGTTATATAAGAGATACTTTCACCTCAGTGAGTCAGAGGCTGCACTAACACACTTTCAGTCATCACCTGTCCAGAGACATGAAGTGTCCACAGAAACTGAAGGTTTCATTTCTCCTTCCTGTCATGTGTTAACTCTTGTTCTCTGCTGCTGTGACATCCTGTTGTGTCGCCACAAACCACAGCTAGAGCCAGTCTCAACATCCAGCCACAGGTTTACACAGGCTGACACAAAACTGAGACAACATAAATAAGTTCATCTTAAAAGACTGTTTCCAGCTGTTATGTTGACTTCTGTGACTTCTATTGGAGGAATGATCAGGCTTTAAATAGATTTGGAACAACAACAGGTGAATGATTCTGACTTTGAGTGTCCAGACCCTCCACTGTCCACCAGGGCCCTGCAGAGACCTTTGGGGGGGAGGGGGGGGTTGATGACTGAGTGAGACCTGGTTGACAAACTGCATCATACTATATCATTGGGATTTTTATAAGTAAATATTAGGAAATTATGAATGTTTCAATGTCATTTAAACTGACTTTGCCTTTAAATTTCTCAAAAACTCTTCAGTAAAGTCTCATAAGATTTGTCGTGCTCATAATCAGGGTTGAGTCAGGAATGAGTTTTCTAATACCAGGGAATTATGAATGTGTTATTATATAATTTGAGAGAACGTTCCTTTTATCTAATATCTAACTCTCCCTGATGAACACAGTGTACTTGTTTGTCTAAACCCTGAAAACACTAAAGTCTTGAAAGGACAACAGGCAGATTTTGTTACCTCTGAAAAGAGCCAGGCTGGTTTCCCCTGTTTACACTCTTTATGCTAAGCTAAGCTAAGCTAAGCTAAGCAGCTGGCTCCAGCTTCAAAATGTTGAAGTATTTCTTGAACATGACGCTGACCACCCAGCAGACCTGTTTACCAGCAGAGCTGCACACTCAGACTGAAACCATGTGCTCAGCAGTTCCTCACAGGCCTGTCGGGATGTCACAGTTTGTCCCATCACATTTCAGCATGCAAAGACAGAAATCAAACTGTTTATGACCTTTAATCAGCAGGAAATGTTCGACTGAATGAGGTGATTTATCAGAAATGATGAGATGGAAACTCCTATTGTCTTAGAAACAAACACAGTTTCCTCTTTAGTCGTCTGTCGGTGGAACGAGGAAGAAAAACAGCTGGTTAATGATTAAAAGCTGTTTTTGTTCCATGAAACATCAGAAAACAGGATCACAATGTTCCAGTGTGACATCATCAAATGTTTCATCTGAGCAATGCCCTAAAATCCAAAATATTTAATGTACTACCAGAGAAAAGCAGCAAACTCTCACGTTTGGGAACATCAAAGTTTATATCATATTTTCTGCAGATCGACTTTTTGTTCTACATTACTTTATATATTTCTTCATTGTTTAGAAATTCTTTGTTTCCTTTTGTTTAAAGTATCTTTAAACCTTCAGGTGTGTAAAATGACCCGCTGTGTGATGATGTCACACCAGGGGATTTCAGGTTGTTGAAGCTCTTAAATTTCATGTGTGGAGTCATGTCTTTGAGTTACAAACATGCTAACAACATTTTTCAGTACTGCTTCTTATAGTTTTTTTTTTTCCAGAGAGAAAACAGAAGTGTGAAACAGATCATTTCATTGTTTTCCTCCTCTGTTGTCTCGTCTGCAGGACCAGCCGTGCCGCTACAATTCAACAGGCATGGCAGCCCAGTGCAAAGGCTACAAGGAGATCCCGGAGGGCAACGAGCACGCGCTGGCTATGGCACTCTTTAAACATGGTCCAGTGTCCGTGGGCATCGACGCCACGCTGAGCAGCTTCCAGTTCTACACCAAGGGTCAGTCATATGTTCTGTTTTATACCCATACAGGGTAAAAGACAAACTGAGACTGTTATCTGTTCCTTCCTACGCTCCAGCAACTGGAGGTGGTGATGATGATGATGATGATGATGATGATGATGATGATGATGGAACACTCAACGCACTACGAAGTGTGTTGTTGAAAGTTAGGCAACACCATTAAAAAGGCCTTTTCTATCTTGCCAGTAGTTTTAAATGTGTTAGCCACGGATGTATAAAGAGAAGTGGATACAGCGTTGGCCGTTGGCCGTTGTAGAACTTTTAAAATCCCTGTAAACATGTCAGTGTGAGTGAAATGGTCCTAAAGTGAATGTGTCACAGTGGGACTAACACACCCAGATCATGTGACTCCTGCATGTATACAGTCAATCAGACCCAAACTGGCCGAGGCTCTCTGAGCATGCTCCACAGTTTCCGCCCCGGGAGTTGACCCGGAGGTCCAATTGACCTATAGCTAAGCCACGCCCCCTCCACTCACTCAGACAAGCTACCAACATTCAGTGAGCGGCGCTATGGCAGGTGTCACAGTACACGGCATTTCACAGGAGGCAACTGATGATTTTTGGGGACATAACGATCAGATGTCATTGAGAAGTAACCAAAAGGGCCTAAACTACGCATTGGAGGGATATATTCATCATTTTATTGTTGAGAAGGTCGATGAAAAGCTTAAATTACAAGCCAAAATTTACAGGTCACAGTGTACGCTTGTGAACCGCATCTGGTTGCCGTCACCATCAAAGACAACAAGTTAAAGTGCCACTGAAGTTAAGGTTTTTGGCTCAGAATATGAGAAAAGGATAACGGCCTTTTTACCATCTTTACCAAGAGTGTCTCTCCGTTAGTTTGGTGCTACAGTATTTACACTGAATCATTCAGCATAACGTTTGCCAACCTTTGTTATCTCTGCCATTACAGATAAGTTAATGAAGCTAAGCTCCAGAAGTTAACGTTAGCTTAACTAGAGCCCTTTGGACAACAGCTAACAATGATGTACGATCACCAAAGTACAAAACTAGAACAAAATAGGCTAATGAACTCCCAGCAAACAAGGTGACATGATGAACAACGCAGCTAGGAGCTAACGTTAGGCTAACTTTAGCTAACGTTAGCTAGAGATGTTAAAGATAACTTTATATTTCTTTCCAGCAAAGTGACAATATGTTGCCTCAAACACAATGTTGACTTACCTTAGAACAGATGTAGACATCATTGTTAATCTTATTCACGTTGAGTTGATGTTGTGGTCTAACGTTACCACACAACTTTATCCAAAGGAGACACTTTTCTCGGTTGAGATGTGGTTTAAAGTGTAAAAATACACCTGGTCGCCCAGCCTCTCAGGATACCTTGTGTCAGAGTTGCATGTACCCCATGCACACCGTTTGACCATTTTTAAACTTCAAATCTCAGAAAAAGCTCATAAAACCGAACAAACTGACTTTCTGTAATGCATTTCAATGGACGTCCAGGCAGAGAATGTCCCAGTGTATGGGAATGGCTATACGCACTGTGATTGGCTCATCGCGTTTGAGGGCGGGACTTAGCCATAGGCCAATAGCATTAAATGTGTAAGAGAAGAAGAAGCCGGTAACAACATGGAGAAATCTACATCCAGAGCTGTGACTTTTTGGACGGACGAGGAGACACAGTTCAGCTGTGTCAGCTGAAAGAGTTAAATATGTTAAAATACACAGATGGGAGACAAAGTGTTAAAACAGCTGGACGACACTCGATTGTTTGGTCTGTGATGTGATAGGTCAACAGGAAAAAGGTCAGACAGACCCCCCAGCAGATTTTGGTCCCTGACCTCATGGCTGCGGCCCTGGAATATAAATACATTCAATGATTGTTCTTGCAGAAGAAATAATTAGAACTTAGACTGTGTTTAGGTTTGTCAGGATTTCTCCAGCAGAGCGTCTCCCTGGCAGCGTGAAGCTTTGACACTGAATTTACACATTTTGTTTTTAAACTAAAACAGTTATCTGAATAAATTAAAGCACCTGATAACAACTTTGATCATTTTCAAAATGGGGAATGATTGTAAAAACTGTGTGAGCTCCGTGTGTGTGTGTGTGTGTGTGTGTGTGTGTGTGTGTGTGTGTGTGTGCTCAGTGAAGCTGAGACTCTGTCCTCATTCACTCACTCACTCTTCCTCTCCGTCATGTGCTCAGGTGTTTACTACGACCGCAACTGTAACAAAGAGGACATCAATCACGCCGTGCTGGCCGTGGGCTTCGGACAGAACACCAAGGGGAAGAAATACTGGATCGTCAAGAACAGGTGGGACACATCACCTGTCTGAGCGGCATCAGGTGGCCCATAAGGCCGCCAAAATGAAACGACAGCTTGTGTGTCGGCGCTGATTTGATGCCGTGCTGGTGACAAACTGATGTGCTGAAATGCTGTTTGACTCCTGGCGACGTTCAACAACTCTCATGTGTCCTTCTCTCCATCTCTGTCTTTTGTCTCTGTCCCTGACAGCTGGGGCGAGACCTGGGGCAACAAGGGCTACATCATGATGGCACGTAACCGCGACAACCTCTGCGGCATCGCCAACCTCGCCAGCTTCCCCGTCATGTGAGGAGGACGAAGGGGCTTTGCTCAGACTACTACACACAGAACTACACTTGAAAATGTCCAGAGTTCATCCTCACACGTCAGCAGCACTACATACACCAACACAAGATTTAACTTTACCTTTACGACGGTTTTTCAAACAACACGCAATAAAAATCAAACTGAACTCTTTGGGAATGAACCTCCTCTGGTGATGAGGAGGGCTGAATGTTGAGAGGTCCTGACGTCCTTAAACATGTCTGTCCAGGACGTTTTGTTATCTTGAGTTCATTGAAGCACTTTGGACCCTCAGAGACTTTTCATTTTTATCTGTAAAGCAGCAGACCTCTGCTGTGCTCGTCTCCGTCACCACTGTCAGTTCCTCCAGGGCCGAGGGTTGGTTACCTGAGGCCAGAGCCCAGACTGGTGTGGTGCCAACTTAAATCTACAAAGACACCAGACACATCAACATTTCACAGCCGGCTGGTCGTTCTTCAGCTTTAACTCCAGTGTGTGTGGAAACAGTTTAAATTCATGGTGACAGGAAACATTGCTGGGCAATGGAGCTCCTCCTCTTCCTGTTGAGGCAGAGTCACTTCCTTTAAAATGGTTTTCCTCTTAATTGTGTCGACTTTTGTTTTTGTTGCTCTGTTCTGCACTTTTCTGATGATCAAAGTGATGTTTTCTATGAATAAAGGTTCATTTTGAAGTTAAATATGTCGTTTATTTTTCATTCTGATCCAAAGAATCAGGAAAAGACTCAGCTGCTGAAATGTTTTCCAAACAGCAAACACCCCACAGTTTGTGAAATACTGTGTCGGGTCTGATGAACTGGTAAAAAGAGTCCACTCGTTTAGACAGTGACAGCCAACAAACAAACACAATAGGTCAAAATCCAGGGCAAAAAGTGCCAAAACAACAACAATAATCAAAAACAAACAAACAAAACCACTAAACTCACCATAATAAAATTACAAATGGCAAAAATGACAACAGGTATCCTCACTATATTTAATAATATATTTAATAGCAGCACGACTAAAAACAGCAGATACAGTGATATTTAGAGAATGAAAACAGTAAAGTGTTACATTACAGCATATATAAGGTGTATATGTGTGTTTATAATATATATATATATATATATATATATATATATATATACAGTACAGGCCAAAAGTTTGGACACACCTTCTCATTCAATGCGTTTTCTTTATTTTCATGACTATTTACATTGTAGATTCTCACTGAAGGCATCAAAACTATGAATGAACACATGTGGAGTTATGTACTTAACAAAAAAAGGTGAAATAACTGAAAACATGTTTTATATTCTAGTTTCTTCAAAATAGCCACCCTTTGCTCTGATTACTGCTTTGCACACTCTTGGCATTCTCTCCATGAGCTTCAAGAGGTAGTCACCTGAAATGGTTTCCACTTCACAGGTGTGCCTTATCAGGGTTAATTAGTGGAATTTCTTGCTTTATCAATGGGGTTGGGACCATCAGTTGTGTTGTGCAGAAGTCAGGTTAATACACAGCCGACAGCCCTATTGGACAACTGTTAAAATTCATATTATGGCAAGAACCAATCAGCTAACTAAAGAAAAACCAGTGGCCATCATTACTTTAAGAAATGAAGGTCAGTCAGTCCGGAAAATTGCAAAAACTTTAAATGTGTCCCCAAGTGGAGTCGCAAAAACCATCAAGCGCTACAACCAAACTGGCACACATGAGGACCGACCCAGGAAAGGAAGACCAAGAGTCACCTCTGCTTCTGAGGATAAGTTCATCCGAGTCACCAGCCTCAGAAATGGCAAGTTAACAGCAGCTCAGATCAGAGACCAGATGAATGCCACACAGAGTTCTAGCAGCAGACCCATCTCTAGAACAACTGTTAAGAGGAGACTGCGCCAATCAGGCCTTCATGGTCAAATAGCTGCTAGGAAACCACTGCTAAGGAGAGGCAACAAGCAGAAGAGATTTGTTTGGGCCAAGAAACACAAGGAATGGACATTAGACCAGTGGAAATCTGTGCTTTGGTCTGATGAGTCCAAATTTGAGATCTTTGGTTCCAACCGCCGTGTCTTTGTGAGACGCAGAAAAGGTGAACGGATGGATTCCACATGCCTGGTTCCCACTGTGAAGCATGGAGGAGGAGGTGTGATGGTGTGGGGGTGTTTTGCTGGTGACACTGTTGGGGATTTATTCAAAATTGAAGGCACACTGAACCAGCATGGCTACCACAGCATCCTGCAGCGACATGCCATCCCATCCGGTTTGCGTTTAGTTGGACGATCATTTATTTTTCAACAGGACAATGACCCCAAACACACCTCCAGGCTGTGAAGGCAAAGGGGCCAACAAGTGCTAAACACCTCTGGGAACTCCTTCAAGACTGTTGGAAAACCATTTCAGGTGACTACCTCTTGAAGCTCATGGAGAGAATGCCAAGAGTGTGCAAAGCAGTAATCAGAGCAAAGGGTGGCTATTTTGAAGAAACTAGAATATAAAACATGTTTTCAGTTATTTCACCTTTTTTTGTTAAGTACATAACTCCACATGTGTTCATTCATAGTTTTGATGCCTTCAGTGAGAATCTACAATGTAAATAGTCATGAAAATAAAGAAAACGCATTGAATGAGAAGGTGTGTCCAAACTTTTGGCCTGTACTGTACATATATATAAACATTACTGAAATTAAAAATCTCTTTTACAAGAGCGTGCTGGTCGAGACAGGCAGCAGCACATTAATAACTGTTTAATAACTGTTATATATTGCAGTGACAGAAACGTTTGGCCCCTGATGAAAGCTGAGGTCTCACATTTTATCATTTATGACTTTTTATAAAAAAAAAATTAAACATAACACTTTTGTTTTTGCTCCCATTTTTCACAAGTTTAATTGAAAGATCTGAGACTTCTTTATGCCCTCACCAGGTCTATGTCTCTTTTAACTCTGTGTCAGTGAACTCTTCTCCTGTTCTAAGACATCTCATCCACCTGACAGGTGAGTCTGATTCAGCAGCATCACTACTACACAGGTGTGACTCAGGATGGTCACAGTAAAGGAGACTGACATGTGAGGTTTGATCACATGACACAGTGACACAGATGGAGGAATGTCCATCAGAGCTGATCATGAACTGAATGTTCATCTCTATCATAAGACGTCTCCAGTGTTGTTTGTGTGAATTTGGAAGTGTGTTCACCAATCTGCAGCCTGTCAGACCGGCCTGCTGACAGCTCAGCACCACCTTTTATAAAACACTGGCAGCACACAGTCCCTCAACAATCACTCTTAACGGCTTTGATTACCACAAATTTGACTTCTACAGTAGAAACTTCAAACATATTCATGACATCCATAACAACATGTTCATTGGAGGAATGTTTCATTTTGGTGTTTCCACCCTCAGAACAACAGGTCGACTCTACACACAACACATGTCATGACCTCACTCTGCTGACATTTACTGAGGATTTAAAGCAAAATAAATCTTCTGAGGGGACATTTCATCCTGTTAAATCCTTGTTTTACCATGAGGTGTATTTCACATCACAGCCTCCAGAGGCCGCTGGTGAGACTCTACACTTTATTTTAAATATAAATCTTGTTTTAATGTGTTTGGACAATAAATAAGATAATTTACTCTGTCTATTGGTGTCAGACTCTCTGGTTCACTTTGAGGCTCTGAGGCTTTAAAAAATGAGAGAGATTAAATGTGTGTGTTTCTTTATTTGCTTTATTTGCTTCAGTGTGTGTGTGTGTGTGTGTGTGTGTGTGCTGTCAGTCTTCAGGTGAAACACTGAACACATCAGTGTGATGTAACGCAGCTTCTGTGTAAAGAGGAAGAGGAGCTGACACAGATCATGTGACGTTTTCTTCACAAAAACCAAGCAGGAAACCAGACACACACAGAGGTGCGACACACACAGACACACACACACACACACACAGCAGCAGCAGCAGACGATGAGTCCGACCGACAGAGGTTAGTTTAACATCTTTCATTAATCATCTGCAGTTTGAATCAACAGATTCTGATTTTATTTGAATGTCAGGACATTTTTTATCAAAGAAAACCCGTCAGTAAAAAGATTTAACGCTTCTTTACTTTTACTTTCGTTTTTGTGTTTTACCAGCAGTGTGTGTGTGTGGGGGGGGGGGGGGCTGCAGGTGGATTAAAATGATCCTGTAATGTTGATATAACTGTGTTAAGGTTTAATGTTACTGTGAGTGTCTATAAAGATTTTAGGATTAAATGTGTTTTAGTATTTATCTGGTTATTCTCTGAACAGTTCAGATCCTCCTCTTCCTCTTCACACCAGGGGTGTCCAAACATCTATAAAGGGGGCCAGATAACATCATGTGTAAACACCTGGGGGCCTCTGCTTCTGTCTTTAAATGATTAACGATTAAAAAGTCAGAAACAGACAAAACAAACTTTCAGCTTTTAGTAAAACTCTGTTCCTCAAAGCGTCTCTCCTCCCTTCACTTCACGCTCCTTCGCTGCGTTAATGTCCGACAGAGAGCAGGAAACGTCTGCTGATCGGGAGATGTGTGTGTGTTTGTTTACAGGCAGGAAGAGTTTTGTACTTTTAACTTCTTGCTCACGTCACGGCTTTATCTGCTGTGTTTTTATTGTCTTTTTATTGTTGCCCCGCTAAGACCCACGTCTGTGATAAATGTGTCTGTTTAAATCACCTACTTCACCATCTGATCATGAAACACACTCCACCTGCGTCGTTCCCTTTTGATGTACGTCTACAGACTGTGTGACAGACAGTCCTGCTGTTGTGAGGCGAACAGATAAAATGCAAAGTGCTCGATTGCTTCATATCTTACACTGTGTGGTTGGCCACATACAGTATAGTGTATTTTGAAAGTCAAGCTGAGGGCCGTTTGAAACTGGTCTGTGGGCCACAGTTGGCCCCTGGGCCTGATTTTGGACACACCTGAACTACAGCAACGCTCCGCTGAGAGAAATGTAGTTTGGTTCATTAAAGCTGCTCAGAAAATGTTCAAAGTGATCAAACTGACAAGGTACGCAAAATTATGACTAAATATAACACAAAAAAAGTCAAATGTCACTCAAGTGCCCACTCGTCACACGTCATACGTTAAAAAAAGAAGAAAAAATCTCCACTGTTGGAGAAGTGACAGAAATGTCGGCTTTGGTTTTGTTCACAATGTCCATCAGAAACTGGAGTCCAGGTGGGGGAGGATGACTCAGCTAGACAGGTGGCTTCTAAAATAACACGTAACATTTGTTCATAAATAGCAATAACCAAATACTTGTGATGCAAAAAAATAAGATGAGAGAAGAAGAGAGAAGATAATCTGTTATTAGTCCCACAGCAGGGAAATGTGCATCGTCACAGCAGCAGAAGGAAAAGTGCAAACAAGAAGCATCAGTAAAAAACTAAAATCAGTCTAAGAAGTAAACAGTAAAAACACAGATGACAGAATTTGTAAATGGTGAAAAAAAGGCAGAAGAATATAATAAGTGAGCAGTAAAAAAACAAAATATAATAAAGGACAGGCTGATGAACACTGGAGGTATAAGCACTGTACAGCTCAACGTATACTGATATTTCACCTGAGTGCTGATTGTAAACAGTAAAAATGAAAGCAAGATAAAATAAAATGTATCTAATAATAATAACAATTACTTTATTTGTATAGCACTTATCTAAACAGGGTTCCAAAGT